GTGAGTCTACAGAGAAGAGTGAATCTCGCTGCAGTCTCCACGGAGAGAAGCTTCTACTCTTCTGTGTCGAAGACCAGGAGCCCATCTGTGTGGTCTGTCAGACTGCAGCGAAGCACAGAAACCACCGGGTGTGTCCGCTGCTAGAAGCTGAACAGGATAAGAAGGTATTCTCTTCTATTTTATTAATTGTCTTCCTAAGGAAGTGATATAAATATTGTTCTAAATGAATCCCCAGTATCTATGAGGTGGTGTGTAACTTATAATGAAATGAAAATGGATCGATCGATGCCCATCCCCCCCGACTCGAAATTCTTATCGTCGGTCTATTTATTCTACACTTTGTATTTTGAATGGACACAGTGCAGTAAGTAATAAATACGTTTAAAATATAAAATCTAAGAATTAAATGATGTGCACTGTCCTCCATAGACTAGTGCTTAAGTCACACTTTACAGGACATGTCTGTCATTTAGTTTTATAGTTAATTCTACCCTTTGAACTTTGAACCCAAAAGAAGTGTTAGATGACAGGATCAGGCAGGAAGGAGCAGCTGCAGAAGACATTTGATCTTGTGAACATTATAAATGAAAAAAAAAAACATCCTCAAAGTAACTGTGAATGTGCAAACGTCCTGGGAAGTTTGTATAGGTGATGATCTGGGACCGGTTTCACTTTGAGACAAATCGCACCAAAACTGAAACAGTGCCACTTAGTGGTGGAACATGAAATGACAGCCACTGACATTGATCTGGTGAATCTGATTACACTGACTCAAGTCACACAGAGTCTGGCTTTTAATAAAGATTTATTGGACAGGTGGGGAGGGTGTAAGGGGTCTAGAGACTGTAGAGATGGGGGACTGTTGGAGGAGTAGGAATTAGATGGGGGGGCTGACGAGGCCATCTGAGGAATTTGTTATTCTTGTTGTTCTGACGGAATCTAGTTTTTCCTGTATTTTATGTTTCACTCTGGGCCATAACTGTGTATTAGATTATTATCATTGCGAAATAACTGAGCTTTAAAAAGTCTTAATGTGTAATTGAATCTGTATAGTTCATTATAGCTATGGACTCAGCCTACACACCAAAAATGTGTACCTTGTGATGGACTAACATCCCTTCCTGAGTGTCCCCTGCCCGGTGCCCTGTACTTCCTGGGTGTCCCCTGTCCGGTGCCCTGTACTTCCAGGGTGTCCCCTGCCCGGTGCCCTGTACTTCCTGGGTGTCCCCTGCCCGGTGCCCTGTACTTCCTGGGTGTCCCCTGCCCGGTGCCCTGTACTTCCTGGGTGTCCCCTGCCCGGTGCCCTGTACTTCCTGGGTGTCCCCTGCCCGGTGCCCTGTACTTCCTGGGT